GGAACATTTTTTCTGTGCAGTAAATCAATGCAAGAGTTCTTATAAGATCAGGGGTATTAGATCATTATGAATAAGTTTTTTGTTTTATTATATACAGTTGTGCTCATAAATGTACATACCCTCCCGCTGTAAAATTTATATAACCCTTGCAGAATCTATAGCATTTAAAAAATACTACATATGAGATCATTATTTTTTTTAGTACTGCCCTTAACAAGCTGCATTAATTAGAAAGAAGTATATTCCACAAGAAAAAAATATATTAATGCAATTTACACACCAAAATCATGTTAAAAAGATACCCTTGGCAATATACAATATTAAGAGTTTTTTTTTGTGTTAGATATTTAGATATTTTTTAGTCTTGTTGAATATATATGAATATATTTTTTAGCTTTTGTTGAAAGCTCTTCTGATTCTGATATGTAAATATCTGTTATGTTAAATAGTTTAATAAGGACAGAATTTAATGAAAGAAAATTGCAATTTTTATGTTCCCTTTTATTTTTTTCTGCAAGGACTATGTAAACTTCTGAGCAGGACAGTAATCTAAAAACATGTGAATCTCAATCAGTTTCTTTTTTTACTGAGTTTCTGAGTGAAGCAATAAAAGAATCTCAAGTTGTATTAAAGAAACTGTCTTATCAAATCCTGAAGTCTATTTCAAGTCAGTATCATAAATAAGTCAAAAAAGAAGGGCCTGTGAGATGACTGATCTTTACTGTTCACTGTTTTTAACAATATGAAGAAGAGTTGAAGAAAAATGGCTGAAAGAGAAAAATAATTTAGGAGCCTGAGCAGATTTGAGTATCACACAATCCTTTAAAAATGTCTTTAAGTTAAAGTCACTATAAAACTAAACAATACATATTCTTTACTTTGATTTGCAGTGTATTGAACGATATAGGGAGTCTACAAAGTCGATAATTATCAATGCAGGTTTATTTTCTATAAAGACATACAGTAAAGTCTTGACTACGAAAACGCTATTGAGTATTTTCAGCGTTATGGTCTAGGAAAAAATATAGAGGATACTGCTTTCACAGTACAATCTGCCTGTTATTATATAAACACATTAAATTAGATAGATACATTTTACAAATTTGAAAAACATGCCAACTTTTCTTGAAAAGAAAATCATAAAATCATAAAAAAAATATTATGTTAAAATTATTAAATGAACACATTTGTTAACTAAATGTGTGAAATCAATATACACAACCACTGATTGAAAAAACACACCTTTGGGTAATTGGACTTCTGACTCAAAACCTATTAAAAATAATTACTGAAAGTGAGCTGTGTGACAACTAGCCCCAGTCTCCCCTACTGTTGCTGTTCTTCTTGTAATATTCCTGTCTACTCGCTATTCTGTTGTCTCTCTGCTTCCCTTTCTCTCTCAAATCCAAAACACTCTTTCTCTGTCTCTCCATTCCTTCTCTGCCACTATCTGCACTGTTTTTCCCCAGCATGCCGAGGGTGCTGCTTGTTCGGGTTAAGCACTCGGAGGACGACTGGCCCTGGGGACATCATTTTCCATTACAGAGACAAGAAACCTTTTCTCTCAGATGAAGAAGGAGGGAAAAAGTCAGAGCCCTGAATTGGTTATGCTCCTTGTCGTGTTCTCTTATTCCCCCAACTCGTGATTCGTTTAGTCAATATTTAATGCCGGTGTTGTGCAGTACAGTTGTCTGTTGGCCCGATCCACGGGTTTGATCTCCATGTCTCGCCTGATCTTTCTCCAGGCTTATGGGCTTGTGCCGAGATGTGACACAGAGTCTTAAAATGTGGCACAAGCTTGTTAACGCTTACACACTTCGCTCAGATGCAGTGCAAAGAAAGAAAAGGACATATAGATGGAAGAATAAAGGAAAAAGCCAGATGCATTACATGCATTTAGCACAACTGCTCACTTTATCCACACACAGTCACGCACGTCTCACCCTGCCTGCAGCAACTAATGCCCTCTACGCCCCACCTGAGTATAGATGTCAAGCGGCGTGAAGTGTAAAGGTGGTATTTTTCTTCTTTAAGCAGGGCAGATGGGCAAGGTTTGGTCTGAGCAGGCCCAGGCTGAGCCGGTGGCCAAGCCAGACTGTCTTAATTAGGAGCTGGCCGCTGCCAACGGCAGGTGAACACATCTGGGACGCCATATTGGCCACAAGCGCAGCAGGTCTTGGAAATAGTGCAAGCCTTGGAATATTCGACAGGAGCAGAAACAAGCGATTCCCCCTTTTTTTTAACCCCCATACTACAACCCAAAAGTGAGCAGTAATACATCTACACGCCACACAGAGTCAAGCTTCCACGCTGCGCGAGCCTGCCAGATATTAAAAGTCTCTGTCTTTGGAGGTTTGCGTTCGTTTTGCATGCTGCCAAGGCCCGAGCAGCCCCAGAGTGCTATCAATTACACACATTCTGCTGAAAAGCTGAAATTCAGCTCTGAGCGCAGTCTGACAGGATTCAGCAGTATGTGCACGTCCGTGCGATGGCTATTGGACGTTTGCGTTTCCTTTGTCCCCTGTACCTGCCCTCCACTGCCTTTGTTTGGAAAGAAGACGACACAATCACAGCGTGTCGCACTTAAAGCACCTTATAATGAAGTCGAGTCCTCCCTTCTGTACAGACACACACACACACACACACACACACACACACACACTATCATGCTTGTTCGCCCCACTGAGCTATACCTTCCTCATCAGTGCTTTACCCAACGTCATAATTTCTGCCTCCATAAACTCAATGGAGCTGCATGCTCCTCTCCTTCTCTCTCAACGCACTCCCTTCCAATTACCGCGCCAGTTCATTTATTCATTAACCCGGCAAGGAAAATCGAGGGAGACCTAATTCAAAAACAACCGCCCTCCATTTCTCTCCATCTGGTGGGGAGGCTCGATTCTCCAAACACGTTCAAGTGACTTAATCTGGTTAAGGTGCAGTTTAGCGTCTGCAGTGGAGTTTGGTGGGGGGATTAAGGAATGGATCGCCGTGCCAGTCCATTTTCATTAAAAGCACATTCCAGTGACCAAACTGGTACAGGAAAGTGACATGCATGGAAGTATGGACTAATCAAAAAACAAGCGGATAAAAGGCAAGGTGCCGTTGCACTTGATTACAGAGGCATTGACTAATTTACTTAATTTGTCAAAAAGGAATGCGGTTTGGAACTGAGTTAGAACTAATTTATAGTGATTTGAGTGCTAGCATGCTAGTGCACTTAAACGCTAAACGTGCTTTGGCTATTTGAAGCGTTGTATTTCCAAATGCCATTAGTAGAATTTCCTATCTCCAAAAGTGGAGAGTAAAATTAAAGTTTAGGAAAAGTAAAAGTTGGGAAACATAATTGATTTGAGCCTTCCGGCTACGGCAACCGACATTCAATCTAAATTAAGTAAATATTGTAAAGCCAAATTAGGCATTGGACTATAAATGATTTACTACTTAAATGCATTCAACAAAAAAATAAATCTTTTCTACTTGTGCTGCAAAAAGCCAGTGGAATTTAAAATGTTTTTTTCTTTTTTTTTCTGTCGGGAATGTCACTCATAGTGTTCTAACATAGTCTTATTCACAAGCAGTAAAGACAAATGGGACTTTAACGTAATAAGCAGTCCATTTCCAGCTTAAAAACATCTTAAATCAGTCTAAGCTTATTACTGGTCTTGCTGGACTAACTTTGCACTTTCTTAGCTGGTCAGGCTGGGAGATCAAATGGCTATCCTGCTAAACACCAGCTTGGCCAGGCTGGAAGGTTAACTAGACCAGCTTGAAAGACCAGCAAACCATCTGGTCCCAAGCCATTTACTAACAACTATCTTGAGCTGTGACATGAAGGGAAGGTGGAAAGGTGCAAATATCTCATTTTACACTTTAAAGGGCCATCCAAAAAAACCTACTGCTGGTAAAAAATTGAATTAAATATAATGAAATGCTCAGGATTTATATGTTGTTGGCAAAATAGTACATTTAGTAATTATACATGGCTACTTATAAATGTCTCTCAAGGTTTTTGCCCACAGAATAATGTATCAGCATCTACGAGTAAGGGCTAGAAGGGCCGTGATAACTAGCAAACCCCTGACCCCTTAGTAAGGACAAACTGAAGTTTTCAGCTGCGTGAAACACATAACGTTAAGTCAAGCAGCATTCCTATTCATGTGTTGGCAAAAAAATTGTGTGAAATGTGTGCGAGTTTTTTTGCCATAAATTTAAGACAACCATAAATATAATGATCATGTTGATATATGGACAAATCTCTACATTCCGACCAGAATCAAATGATGCTACATTCTCCCAGTAGACAGCAGTTGAATTACATCCCAATTCTGCGGCTAAAGTTTTCGTCTGAAACATGTCTGCACGCTCAATTGGGAAAGCAACGAAAAACAAGTTACCCTCAGAGATTTATACTTCTGATCCTCTAAATCCTTTTTTATCTTAATCGAGTATAAGGCAGTAAATTGCTCCAGCTCTGCCTCCTCCCTGTCTTTCCCTGCCTGTATGCTAATACTGTTTGACATATTTCGCAGGAAGACAGAGCATCAATATTTATCAATTCATAATAAGACAGAGGCGCTGACATGCGCTAAGATTACAGTTTAATTAAAACTTGAGTAGCCAACTAATATTCAGTTCTTAAACAGACACATCATATGCCAATGCATTATCTACTCATTTAGATCTTGCATCATTGAGAAAGAAGGCAGACAGGGAAATCAGGAAGGAGAACACGACATGCGGCTGCAAGATCATCCCTATTCCCTTTCTACTGCTGTTCTCTGCGTTTGGGCATAGCTGTCAGAGCTGAAGCTAAAATAAACCTTGCCACACTGGTCTGTATAAAAAATGGATACCTCTGGTTCGAGTCCTGCCCAGCCAAAACACAACTGATGCCAAATTCCACCTGCCAGCAAGAGATCCTGAGGTGGCAAAGGGAGCACAGAGGCAGTGCCAACCATGCCACCAATCTGGAAAACACAAAGAAGACATCCACTTACCAGTCTTGTGACAAGGGGCACCCCGAAATGCCAGAAGTGATCGTTCAGCAGCCCACTGTACACTACGTTTCCAAAGAGAGCAATGCTTCCTGTTTTACACAGCCCGTTTCCTGGTTTGGTTTCTGCAGAAGGAGGAAAAAAATATATATATTTGGAACAGGTTAAACAGCAATATACAATGACTAGAAACAAATAATAATTATTATAATAATAGAAATGAAGATTGGAGAGCAGAAGAGCTAAATAAACAATTAAGGTAGGATGTAAAGAAAGAAGAAGAACGGAAAAAGGAAGGAAGGAGGGAAGGAAGAAGAAAAACAAAGGAAGTAAGAAAAGAAGGAGGAAAAAGTGAAAGAAGGAAAGAACTAAAAATGGAAAGCAGAAGTCAGAAGAATGGAAGGAGAAAAAAGGAAGCAAGGAAGGAAGGAAAAAAAGGAAGGAAGGAAGGGAAAAAACAAACGAAAAGTAGGAAGGATGGAAAGGAGGAAGGAAGGAAAAAACTAAGGAAATACAACATACAAAATACAACGGTAATAAAGGAAGTAATAAAGGAAGAAAAAATGAAACATTATAGGAAGAAAGGAAGGAAGGAAAAACAAAGAAAGAAAGGAAGAAAAAATACTGTAGGATAAGAAGGAACGGACATGATACATGAAGGAAAAACAATGGAAGGAAGGAAGGAGAAAAAATAAGGAAATAAAAGCAAGTAAGAAATGAAGGAAAAAATAAAGAATGTATGAAGGATAGAAAGAAAGAAAGAAAGAAAGAAAGAAGAAAAAAGTATAAAGGACGGAATGAAGGAATCAAGGAACGAAAGAAAAAAATGAAATGAAGAATGCAAAGAAAAAATAAGGATGGAAGGAGGGGAAAAAACAAAAAGAAGAAAGGGAATGAGAGAATAAAAGAAAAAATATTGTTTTTTCTTTGATTCCACATGATTCCAAATGTAAGAGACAAATACAAATATTTCTCTGACAATCTGAATACGTCACATCCATAAACACTCGTTCTCTTTGCTGTTTGGTGCGCATCAGTCTGTGTGTGAGTGGCATGGTGTGAGTAGAAGAGCTTGGCATGTGATCAACAGTGGGGTCAGCCCTGCTTACACAGCAAAGCAAACTAACAGCTGCATTCAACCTCCTTTGGGCAACACACACACACACACACACACACACACAAACTGATCGGTACTCACAAAGACAAAAAAGAAAACATGACTCTGACATCACACCACCACACACAATATCCCAGCAGTTCAGTAAAAAAAAAAAAATCCCCATTCCCCCAGTCTGAGAGCGGACTCAGAGAAGCAAGTGCGAAGATTGCGATGTGTATTAAATTATTCCCTATAAATGCCAAGTGCAGCAAAAATCTGCATTATGCCTCAAAACAATAGAGAAGTGCACCACAGCAAGCCATGCATTCATTATTGAAAAACAAAAAGTAAAAAGGCCCATTAAAATGTCACTTGTGCTCTTTGTGGCTGCGGCGACACATGAGTTTTAGTGTTATAAATGGGCCTTGCGTTATTGTTTATGGTGGCTGCTAGCCGCAGGCTACCCAGCGGTGACTGTAAAGTCCACGGATCACACACCACGAGCCTCCGATGCTACTCCCTCCCTCTCTATACATCACCCCATGAATATTCATGCCACAGGGCCACACTACAGCCAATCGATCACAAGTATAACGCATTTATATCCATGATACATGTGGCTGATTTTTTTGGTGTCTAGGAATAAAAAGATATGGCCTAATTAGCAATAAAACAGCCGCTTCGCCATAGATTTGGAGGCCGAGCGGCGTTCCTGCTCTTTTCGCAGGTGATGTAATTCAGACCGCGGCGCGTTGCATCACAGGAACATGTCGTAAGATGAGACTCGAGGCGGGGAGAGATGGCTGTCATCGCGTTTGAGGCTTCCCTGCTGTCTGTTGGCACCGGTTGAAGTTCCTTTGGCATCCGTGGGCATGTTTCTCACCATGCCTCACCTGTGATTAATTATTGACGGCGAGATGAGGATGCGGTAAAGTAAAGCTGCACAGACATGCTACACTGCAGATACATTACAACAACCCCCCAGGCTGATTCACTATCTCCCTGTCTCTTTTTCTTCCTTTCCCCTGGTTTTCACTCTTGCGCTTTGGCTTTAAAGCCCCCTTCTCACTCTCTCTCTCTGACAACCTATCCTTACTCTCTCTATCTCTCTCTGCCCTGCAGTTTGGCAAATTTGACAAGGGCTTTAAAAACTGAGCCAAATGTCAAAGTTGTCATAAACAGTGTGTGAGAGGGAGTATTGTTGGTTTGATAAGGAGGCAATAACAGTTTGATTTAAGGCAGAAAAGAGTGTCATCACATCTAAATCTGCCATCGGCATATCTCGGTCCAGGGTTTGTCGGCGCGTCGCTGCGCACTCATGCAGATGAATGGAGGAGTTTAGGTTGAAACTGAGACTGCATTATCTCGCATTTCTCTGCAAGGATGACAATAAGTGCCGTATATGATCCCTGCCTGATCTGTGGGGAAGCACCCAGCTTTGAATCTCAAGTGTGACGTGAGAGAGGAGGATTCTAGGGCCATGATAACATAATAATCAGAGAAGAAACATAAATAGAAATTTACACTATAAAACAACTCTATAAATGTGGAAATAAATCACTTGGCAAAGGCTTTAACTGAAAAACAAATGTTCATTATGAATTGCACAAAAAAAACAAATGATACGCTTATTTTTCTCAGAGCTGACTTTTCAAGCTTACACAGGTGTCACTGCAGAATAAACATAGGTACTTTATCATATTCCACAAACGTTTGGGTAAAACATTCTTACTAATTAATTGCAATCCTTATTTAAACAATCTAAATTTTGATCGATAAAATCCCAAGATCAATATTTTTATTCTAGCCAGCGTTTCCTGCGCCACTTTTAATCAGTGAAGCAACACACGCTCCTCTGTTGAATATACGATCCAGCGGCAAGAGAATTCATATTAAATATAAGTTTGGAATCCGAAATGAATGTGAAGAGATAAAAAGGATGCGTATTGCAAAATAATAGCAAGAAAACACACATTTGTCCTTTGGGTAATCTGATTAAAAAACAAATTGATTTTTAATTTATCAAAAATACACTGCGCAAATGGTGTAGTCCAATTCAAGAACAAATAAGTCTTACAAAATTAAGTGATTAGTCCTTAAATGAATACTTCAAGTCAAGTGATTGAGTGCATCATTGAATGATTTGTTGAAATTGCTGATTCATTCGGGAGCGAAAAACATGACCGTCCTGTTGTATAAGAGCACTCACAATCTTGATGTATTTTTCTAAATATCAGCACAGCTGTGATTATGTGTTTTGTTTGTATAAGCAAAATGATTTCTAGATCTTGTAAATAAAACAAATGTTTGTTTTCAAAGAAAATAGTTCAATCTTCAATCTTTCTACTGTACTTCAAAATTTCATGTTTACTTGCCATTTCTTTGTAATTACAGTATTTGTAAAAAAATTACTAGTGATTTCTGACTAAAAACTCCAATTTTTTACACAGGTTTGCATAGGAAATTTAATTTAAAGCTTATTTTAATCTTTAGTTTTTGGTTGTGTTGATCTGTTAAATCAACAGCACTGGAACTGCATAGTTTGGGTCCTCTTGTTCATTTAGAAATATTGTATTTTAATGTACCAAATGAAAAGGTTCCATTTATAACTGACAGCAATAGCTGAAAGAGAAATGCTCATATTATCAAAATGGACATTAGAAAAATATATGCAAAATGACAGAAAATGAATCAAACGGTGAAAATCCACCAACATTTAACAGCCAGAATGTGTCCGAAAATCTATATGTGTATTGTTTTAGAATTCGAAACAATGTTTTGCTTGAGAAGCGTGCTTGCAGTATCTTTCTCTAACACGGCTGACACTTGGTTTGATATTTTGCTGCGTAATGCACTGACATTCATACATTTTTAAATGTGGTCCAAGTGCCCAAATACTTTTAGGGGCCACTGTATAAAAATAACTACCCACAGCACTGCAAAATATATCAAAATCTTGCGCTTGTTATTGCCAAGTGAGCAACAGGGATGACATAATGTCTGTATTCTTCCGGCTGGAAGCTTCCTCCCACAAGCCTTGTGGCTCTGGCAGTGGCCATCCTGTCCTGGGCCTGTGCTTCCATTAGCCACACTGACCCGGATCTGTTCTGGCATCACTCTGATACTAGACCGGTGGACTTGGCCCTTCCTCTCAGCGGGGCAGCTCTGTCAGGACATCTGTCCAACCCAAACACACCAACCACACCAGCCTGTCCATATGGCAGTCCCACCCTGCCTGTTTCTGGGCCAGAGCCTGATTCACAAGGGCTGGAGAAAAAGAAGTCCTCTTCTTCCAGAGCCCTCTCCAGGGCATCACAACGTCTCTCCAAACGATGTATTCATTACCCCTCCTGTACCCTGGGGATGCTCAAAAGCCTTGTTTCAGAGCGGGGAGTGTGGCTGTGTCTGTTTAAACACTGCTCCAGTCCTACTTAATCATGTGCAGTTGGAGGGGCAGTCCGTGCCGGTGCTCTGATTAATACAGCATGAAGCTGTGGCGGCAGACATAGCTGCAAGGGACGCAAGGCATTAATAACCGTATGCTGCCACTGTTTCTGCCGCTACCTCCGCCTTCCTGAAGTCTAGAGAGACCATGAGTACAAACACACACAAATACCAACTCGTAAGGTGTCGTGGAGCCTGGACGCTGTAAATATCGTCATGGGAAATCACTGGCCCAGAGATCCATCTCTGGTAATTGCATTAGAGCACGAAAATGGATTTTTTTAATTCATGCAATTTGTCAATCAGCCTAATCATGACTAATCATCATCATTTGTGGTTCATAGGTTCACAATAGCGGAATATCATGATCATAATCATTGCTGTCATCATTATCACCAATACAGATGATTTTCGTAACTTACAATGGGGTCTTAAAATTGTGGCAAAAACAAAAAGTGATACAAAGTGTTATGGAAATGAAACAAACTATACTGTACATTGACTTCCATAGTCACTTTTTGTATTGTGTTTTCATAGTTTTGTCTGGTAAAATAAAGTAAACCAAGGGGCAAGGGCCCACTC